AACAGCACAAACTTATTATATTGTCATACTTCTCTTTGTGTCCAAAAAAATTTTTAACAGGATTATGATTGGTTCTCATGTGTGTACTATCCAGCTGTTAGGGCCTGTTTTCAATTTCATGTCTTTATATTACACTGTTGAAAGTCCATTCTAAAAGAGTGATGAAAATAATACTGATTTCAGGGAATGCTCATTGCTAAAACAGCTTCTCAAGCATTTGCTCTGCTCTGCTAGAAGGGTCTTCTTGGTTCTATTTTAGACTGTTGCATGCAGTTTGGGTTTGGCATTTGCATTATTTAGAAACATGTTTCATTTCTTTGTTCCAAACTAAGTCTGCAGCAAAATGGTTTGAACATTTGGGTAATTTCTGTGAATGCTCACAGAATGTTCCCATTATCTTCGTATTTAGTTCTAAAAATGCACAGGGCACTTGATTGCTTGTAAACTGGGGGATTTCTGGGGTGAGAGGCAGCACTGAATCATTCCTTACATGTGATATTATTGTTATATACTTCCTTTTCATATGCACCTTGTTCTAAAGATAAGGTTCTGGAACTTAGGAGGAAAGGGACTTTCTGCTTTTCTGTTTATCAAATGTCTGTCTTTCATAGTTACAAATTATCTGACAGATAAATTTTTGTGCCTCTGCATCCAAACTAGCAGCTCCTCTGGTCATTTTACCATTAGTGAGTGGAACAGATAAATCCATACTTATGGAAAAGCTTGGGTTTTGCTTCTTACTGGAATTCAGATCTTTTTTTAAGATTTCCATTATAAGCTCAAATGTTGAAGTTCTCTTATTTGCAAAATTTTGTCTTTATTGTGATTTTTTTTTTTTTTTTGCTTTGCTAATAGTTTAGAGAGGTTTGAAGGAAAAAGAAGGTGTGAATATAAAAATGAAAAATAAAGAATAGCAGTAGGTAGTCAAACATCCTGAATAATATGTTATAGTTAGTGTACTGGTACTAATTATAGCTTTTGTGATTAGAAGTTATAATTGAAAGTGTAAATTGTGAGCCAGGGAAGAAAAATACCTGCCAGATTTGTGCTGCTAAAATGCCTGGAGAGGAAATGTTTTGCTTTGGTCATGGCTAACCACACAACTGGAGAGAGGAGACAGAGCTTCTTATTACTAGGTAGTTCTTGAAATGAACTCATCCCCTGAATTGTGAGAAATTGTTGTAAAATTTTCCTAGCAACAGCAGCTTTTCCCATTTTTGTCAGCCTGGATTTTTTTAACGGTATTACAAGCTGAGATTTATGCAGGAACAAAGTTTCTGATAAAATGATAAAATGCTGATTCGGTCAGTGCTGGCTACTGTTTCAAAAAGTGATTTAGTTGTATTATGTATATGTCTCATGCAAAGTCATATTAGTAATACTAATTATTTTAAAATATTTCATTTTCATTATTAACTGATCTGTTCTCTGCGTCTTTGTAAAATACTTGCAAGCAACCTTTTACTTTTTCTGGCTTGGCAGATAATGGATGTATATTTTCTGCTGAAACAGGAATGTAATAAAACAGTTGGACTTCTAGGTTAATTTCAACTGTATTGCATTCTCCTAATATTACACAATTATATTCAACAGATTGCTGGGCTCACTAGTAATATGCAGTTGCACATTGCAGGGGGATGAACCAAATCAATCCACTAGATTCTTTTGTTTTAAACAGTGAAATTAACAGTAATTATACTGGACATGTCTGGTAGGTAGGAGATGCCTCAAATGTATATGAGATAAAAGCAAAACTAATAATAATTAACATGATTACATTGTCCATTTTTGTAGTTCGCTTAATATACTTAATTTCTCGCCCATCAGAGAGAGGCAGTGTGTGCTGGGGAGGTGTCTCAGATACTCACTCAGTCCCAAGGAGACTTCTCCTGGTGCTTGCTGCAAGCCTGGAGCAGAATCCTTGACATTTTTGTGTGTTGGCAGTTTTAATAAGTGCACAGATAAAAACTACCCTCGTAGCCCTGTGATGACTGGCTCATATTCTGAGTCTGTGTAGGAGTTACAGAATTGTTTGGTTGGAGAAGCCCTCTAAGGACACTGAGTCCAACCGTTCCCCCAGCATTGACAACGCCACCCCTGCCCCATGTCCCCAAGTGCCACATCCACATGGATTTTAAGCCGTCCCACCCAAGGAACAGAGCACCTGTCCAGAGCAGCCAGTTTCTCCAGAAGAAGGCTGAGGGAAACAGTGCCCAAGGCTTTGCTGAAGTCCCAGCAGGGAGCATCCACAGCCTGTCCCTCACCCACTGAAGCAGGTCACCTTGTCACAGGAGGAGAGCAGGTTGGTCAGGCAGGACCTGCCTTTCCCAACCCCATGCTGGCCAGGCCTGATCTCCAGGTTGTCCTTTGTTGGCACTCAGGGTGACCTGCTTCGTGACCTGCACTGAGGTCAAGCCAGCACATCGGGAGTTCCCCAAACTCTCCACTCTTCTTACAGATGGGTGTTTTATATTTTATAATCTCCAGTTACCCAGGCCTGCTGGGAAATGATGGAAGTTGGCTCAGTGACCACTTCTGCCAGCTCTGTGCTGCTCTCCTCAGTGGAGCAATCCAGCTTGTCATCCTTACAGCTTCACACAAGTCGTATTTGTTGACATATTTTTTTTCTCCAAACATATGTAAAGCAGAAGTAGAAAACAAGCTGCTTTTCTTTGCCAATGAAGTTTCACTTTAATGAAATAATTCATATGGAGCTTCAGCTGCTCCTGGGAGGCCCAGGAAGAGCTGAGTGGGGGAAAGCCTTAAAGCCTGTGCACATGTGTTTCCTTGGAAGGGCTGCTGTGGTGCCTTCTGTGAAAGGTAATTACTTCCATGCTTCAAAGGTCAGGTGGCAGGGAATAGGCCCATAAGCAAAATGACATCAAGTTTTACAGTCAGTCAAGCATCACATTTATGTCTGGCAAAAGTATAAAAGGCAAACTAAAAATTAAGAAGAAACTTTAAGAATTAACTTTAGTCAGAACTCTGGGCAGGCATCCTTCCCACTTCTGATTAGGGCAGTACCCTTTTTGTTGAGGAAAAGGTTAAGGGATCCGTTGAAGGCAGTGTTATTAAAATGTCAACAGGAGGTTATAATCAGCATGGAAGGATTATTAAATAGTTCACAATGCAAGGGTGAGGAAGGCAGAAAATGTCAAAAGAACCTAAGAAGATAATTCCAGCCTTCCTGTTACAAACAAATTTGCCATGCTTGCATGGAAAGTACTTACAAATAAACTTGCAGCTAGGATGTGATATTCAAAATAGCAGAGCCTCACAGCTGACAGAACAGAGGAAGGAATTTTGGTGTTTAAAGAACATGAAGCAGCTCAGTATCATAACATGTCTTTAATGGATGCTTCAGAAAAAATGATCTGTTTGTTTTAGTGGGAGGTTACACAGTTTCAATGTCACAGGCAGAACTCTGGATAGTTTATCATTCTTAAAGTGAAAGCCAGCTGTATCATGGAGGGAAAGGGATTAGTTTCCTGTCAGCTTCCTTTTTTGAAAAAAGCAATGTGTGCACACTGCAAATATTTCCAGCTTGGGTTAAGTATGTTTGAAAATACCTTTTGGTTGGAGTCCTATTTTGATGGGCAAAGATGGAGAGCTTGCTTTCAGTTTTATATGTTTATATAGAAGCATTTTAAGAAATCTATGGGGCTTTTTTTTCTTCTTCCCTTTAAAAAGCACGAACTGTTCAAGCTGGGAGAGTTTGGCCGGGGTTAACCCTCAGCTCTTCAGTCTGTGGAGAACATTCTTTAAGAAATTGCTCTGTGCTTTTTGAAGGGACAGCTGAGAGACGACAGGAGGGTTTGGTTTTTAAGTACATATGAATGAAAGAAAAAAATACAGGGCGTGGTGGGAATGTGGAATTTTACTTTTTTGGAGTTTGGATGTACCTCTCCTAAAGCAAAAGGTAGAGGAAGTGCTGCAGATGCTTGTATTTGTACATGTGTGAAGTGTTTACTGAGTCTTTTAAGGGATTAAAAAAAAAAAAGTGAACTTTTGTTTTCCTGTCAATGCCCTGTGCACACAGGATGAGACAGACAGTAAATAGCACTGTGAAACATGAAAAAATAGAAGAGTGAAAGTGCATATATTGCAATGTGAGAGTACCCTACAAATACAGCCCAAATACAAATTCCTATTAGTCATCAGTACTTCAGAATACACCTAAGGCTCAGTTTTAAAATGTTTCCTATTGTGTGCAACCCTTTTAATATAAAAAGTCTTTTTCCTTTCCTTTGTTCCTTAGCAATAACACTGTTTGTGTGGAAACAGAGTAGTTTGTCCACCAGATAGGTGCCATTGAGCTTTCTTCACCTGAAACCATGTTGGTTTCATTAGCTGGAAGTGGGATGCCCTTGGGATGCTTTACTCCAAAACCTGCCAAAAGTATCCCATGGAAGCAGCCCTTCACTAGCAGGGAAATAAATGAGATTTCTTCTGCAAGTACTTTTCCCCAACATTAGTTTCTAGAAACATTGTAGCTCTCAAGATCCATTAAATCCCAATCTTCATGAAAATAATCCTTTTATGTCAAATTGTAATATAAGGGTAAGAAAATATTGCTTTAATTCATCAAAGCAAAGAAAGACATCAATAAGCATCTGACATTTAGAATGGAAACACTTGGAAATGAGCAGTCTTATAAGAAATTAGAAGTTTTCATTCACTTTACAGAGTAGTTGCTGAGTGACTTAGGATGTTATAAATAATTAGTGTATAAAGTTAAATAATGCTTGAAACCTCCATTCTCCTGTTTGACTCGTGCTCTAAAGATGTCATGGGCATGACAGACTGAGACTGGCAAAAACTACCAGGGAAAAACCATGGTGTTTGACATGAAAGCCACGTTCCTTGTAACACCTGCACATGAACAACAAAACTTGCTCGATGCCTACACAAAATGAAACTAAGGCAAAACTGTGCTGTCTGCTGTTGAGAATTTTGCTGGACTCACCCAAGGCTTTTGCTGTCTCTCTTTTGTTGTGCAGCGTTGAGGGGGAGGCTCCCAGCAGTGAGACTGGAACATCCCTGGATAGCCCCTCTGGCTACCCGCAGGGCCCTATAACGCACAGCTCTGCTCTGAGCCCCGAGCACTACGAGCACCCCTACGGGCTCTACTCCATCGCACCAGGCCAGCAGCGAGCCCGCCGGCCCAAGCTGCAGCACTCCACCTCCATCCTGCGCAAACAGGCTGAGGAAGAAGCCATCAAACGGTCCAGATCACTTTCGGAGAGCTATGAACTCTCTTCAGACCTACAGGATAAGCAGGTATTTGAGCCTTGGTACCTCATTTGTGCCTGTGAATTGAGAGAAGACTTTTTTAGCAGCATTTCAGTTGGGACTTTTAACTCTCTTATTCTTTGTCCCATATACCTTCCCAACCTCCTGGAGAAAAGTGTAAAAGATATGTTAATACTGTCAAAAGTAAAAACAGTTCTTGGAACTGAGATTTTATGCTCCAGGAGCGTACTAGAATGTAGTCATGCAAAATATTTTTCTAAGAAAATGAGTCATTTTGAAACCTGAGTGTTTTTGTTGTCACAGAAAAGAAGGAACAACTTATTTCAACTGATATTGCCTTATATCTGTGAGGTGAATTAATATATTTCTGTATTTTATGGTGTAATTTGCAGATGACTATTCCATTCATTATTGGAGTTTTGAGTTTTTACTTTCAAAATCAATATACACATGAAGTATATTAAAGTCATTATGAGAGTTAAATGTTTTTGTGAGACTTTACCCTTGTCCCGAGCCGCATGAAGTGACGAGGGGTGTGTGTGTTCCCGTGGCAGGTGGAGATGCTAGAACGGAAGTATGGGGGCCGTCTGATCACCAGACATGCTGCCCGCACCATCCAGACCGCCTTCCGCCAGTATCAGATGAACAAGAACTTTGAGCGCCTTCGCAGTTCTATGTCTGAGAATCGCATGTCAAGGCGCATCGTGCTGTCCAATATGAGAATGCAGTTTTCCTTTGAAGGCCCTGAGAAAGTCCACAGCTCCTACTTTGAAGGAAAGCAAGTTTCTGTTACAAATGATGGGTCAAAGCTGGGCTCCCTCGTACCGTCGGAGTGCGATGAGCTCAGGGAGACAGCTACCATGAAGTCCCCGACAGCATCCACTGATTTCACCGATGCCATAACAGAACTGGAGGATGCTTTTTCCAGGCAGGTGAAATCCCTGGCGGAATCCATCGATGACGCGCTGAACTGCCGCAGTCTGCATTCGGATGAAATCCAGAGTGTGGAGCAGGTCAGGAGCAGGGAAATGGAGAGGGAGAGCTGTGCCCCAAGCAAACCAGCAATCCACAATGTGGATCACAGGAAGCTGGATGAGATGACAGCGTCCTACAGCGATGTCACGTTGTACATTGACGAGGAGGAGCTGTCCCCACCCTTGCCACTCTCCCAGTCTGTGGACAGACCATCCAGCACAGAGTCGGACTTGAGGCTCCGTTCCATGAACTCTTCCCAAGAGTACTGGTCCATGACCCATAAAGATGATAAGATAGACACTGATACGAGCTGCAGGAGTACCCCATCACTGGAATGTCAGGAGCAGAGGATGAGGATGGATCACCTCCCTCTGCTCACTATTGAGCCGCCCAGTGACAGTTCCGTGGATTTGAGCGATCGCTCAGAGAGGGGCTCCTTAAAGAGACAGAATGCATATGACCGAGGCATCACCAGCCAGCAAGGCAGCCCTAAACATATCCCTCACAGCATTCCTGCCAAGATCATCACCCGGGAGGAGCAGGAGGCCAGGCACAGGGCTAGGCCCATAGACAGTCATTTGGCCATCAATGGCACAGCAAACAGGCAAAGCAAATCTGAGTCTGATTACTCTGATGGAGACAACGACAGTATCAACAGCACTTCCAACTCCAATGATACAATAAATTGCAGCTCAGAATCCTCTTCTAGGGACAGCCTAAGAGAGCAAACCTTGAGCAAACAAACATACCACAAAGAGACTCGGAACAGCTGGGATTCCCCTGCCTTCAGTAATGATGTTATCAGGAAACGCCATTATAGGATCGGGCTGAATCTTTTTAACAAGTAAGTATAGCGGTTCCTGCCTTCCTCTCTGTGTCACTGAGAATGAACCAGGAATATTTTTCTTGAATCAAGTAAAATAAGACTGGTGTTTGGTACTGACATTTCACTGAATAAACAAGGTACTTCTGGTGACTGTTCTTGTTCAAGGTTAAGTTGATGTCTTCATAGTTTAACAGCTTCAAGAACAAAAGAGAAAAATGTAGTTATGTTTATAGGAACAGTAGTAAATTATTGAAGATTAATCCAACTCCTTTCTTGGGGAAAAATATTATGGCTTGATCCTGATCCATTTTTTGGTGTTACGTTATAAAAAATGCAGATTTCTTCTTGCCCTAATCATGTAAGTGGTGTAAAATTCATCAGATGGAAATAAGAAACAGCATGCAGCATATGATGAGTTTCCTGTTTAATGCTGGCAAGGCCTGGAATTTGTACAGTAGATTTCATTAAAACTGTGATGCTAAAAGCCTATACAGTGAATATTTTTTATAGTAAATGAATATTTATTATTTATCATAAAACTATCATAAAATTTGTATTTCTGCCTATGACTGATAGTTTTCCTATGTTTTCCCTGGGCTTGAGTGACTTCAGGCCTCCTTTTCAGGTAGCAGTGCTTTGATGTGTTTGGATTGATAGGTAGGTGGTTCTTCATGTATTTGTTGTAACACTGCAGACAGTTAAAGCTTTTTGGTGCCATCACATAAACTGTGGATTACAGCCCCAAGTTTGGCTGTAAACACTTTAATCTTTGTGAAAATGCCTTTCTTGGAGCAATTGGAATTGTGCAAGTAGTAGGATCACTGCTTGTGAAGTTGAATGGGTGGGAAAATACATCAATTAGCTCTTTTTGAGAAGATTTGAAAATAACATCCTTGGCAGGGCGGCTGGGGAGGAAGATGTTGATGCAGTTGGCTGACTTTTAACACTTGGTGTTTGCCTGGGTTTTGCACAGCAATTAAGTGTGGAGCAGTCAATGCTCAGTTAGCCTCAGACTTGGCAAAAATCTTTTGAGCCAGCTGCAGAAGTGTAGGGAAAAAATGAGTGGAAAAAGTGCTCAGGCAGCATGCAGGGGTGAATGAGAGCATTGGAAGCTGTCAGGTGCTGCTAGTTACACATCAGTAGGAGGCTGAAAGTGAAAAATTAACATCGGGAACAGACAAGAATAGAGGTAACAAGAATAGATCTGTTTAAAACAGATAGAAGTGACCTTGCTGCATGGACTTGCACAGAGATAAACCTGTTTTATTGTTGTGAGGTGATGTGCAGCTCCTCAGCAGGGAGTGCTGCAGGACAGGGCTCTGCAGAGCTCCAGGCAACACCTCTGAGTGGCATCTTTTGCTCTGTGTGATTTCATTTTCCCCACTGCATTTTATCTCCAGCGTTGATACCGAACTGAAAATTGTCATTACTTTCTGCTGAATCAGTGTAATTCAACTGGTTTCTCAGACAATCCTCAAATAGCCCACATATCCCCATACGTCTTGGGTTTTGATTGTGACCCTTGAAGTCTGAGGATTGTGACATTTTTGTTAATGTGCAGTGTCCGGTTTTGAACTATCATTGAGTGTGATGGTGCATAAGTCTGTGAATTCTTTTGAAAAGGGAGCTGGAAAACCTTCAAAGCTTTATTCTTGTGAAAGCTCAGGAGTCTCTAGAGAGTGTATCAGGTGGGATTGAAAATTACATCTTGAGGTGAGTGGTCAGTGCAGTGGTCAGGTCAATGCAGCAGAGTCACTTCACTGTCTTTTCACCACATTATCTTCACAACACATTTATGATCATAAAACAAGGGAGCAGTGGGAGTGTTGGCAGCAGCTCCTGGGAGGATGTGTGCTCCACCCAGGAGGAAGCACTGAAAGAAGTGGCTTTGAACTTATCTAGTACAAGAAGGCAAGTTTTTTTCCAGATGTCTGTGTCTACCAAAGGAAATTTTAGGGATGTCTTTTACAAGGACTTCAAGTTAATTTCACTATGTTCTTGAAATCTTCCTTGCAAACTAAGATCCCAAGCCTTAATTAACAAATGTCCTTCCTTTGTGATACATGAAGCTTGGCTGAAATGCAAAGAATTAAGAATCTTAAAGAATTGCATGAATTGTAGCAAATACTTCTGCTTTGTTCAGTAGAAGTGGTAGAAGGATTAAGATTTTAAAGGAATGAAAAGTCACTCTCATCGCAGTGGAAATTTCAATTTTTAAGTTTTCTGGCTTTCGTATTTTAATAACAATTTTCAGAAGCCAAAGTGCAGTTTTCTTATCAGAGGCTCTTTGTTAGGATAGGCAGTTATGGGTGGGATAAAAGTTGAGCACAGCTGGGGTCCTGTTCACTTAATCACTGATAGATGCAAAACATTAGTAGTACAAAGCTCCTTGGAGAATGGAGAAGAGAGGACGTTGGGAAAAAATTATAGGTAATTGAAAATCACTTTTCTAGGAGTTGTATTGGAACATGTCTCTGCCCATGTGCCCATGGCAGAAGGTTTGGAATAAATCATTTTTAGTGACCCTCCCAGCCTAAACCATTCTGTGACTCCGTGATTGTCACTTGATCACGGATTTTTTTTCAAACTGTAACTTGGCCTTCAACTTGGAACCTTAGTGTTGAAAACAGTGCGCTTTTCAAAGATGTTCTGTAGCAGCTAGTAAGCTAGAAGGCAAAGTGTCCCACAAAATGGAATGATTTCTGCCCAAGAAATTGCAACTGAGTAACAGCTTCTGTGGATTGCCATGGCTCTGAATGGCAGCAGTGATTCCGCCCTGGCAATGAGCTGGCTGAGTATGTTCCCATTCATTCCTCCCCAAAGGAAGGGTTTTGCAGGTGCATGCCCAGAGTGCAGCAGCTCCCAGGGAGTCTTGAGCAGGCCAGCTGTGTTGAATTAGACATTTTCTTCAGTGGAGCTGGAAAGAGATGTGGGCTGGGAGAATTGCACTAGAAACCATTCCTCACTCACAGGCAGAAGGAAAACACTACCTAGAAAGGTTTATTTTGCAGGCTGCAAATCCTGCCAATGCAAATCCAGCCTTTGAGACTGGTTTGCTTATAAACAAGTCTTCAAGAGGCCTTTTGATCGCTGCTTTAAAAAGAAAAACAAGGAGGAAAAAAAAATGAAAAAAGAGCTATGATTTCATTCTCCTGTTTGTTTTGACTGCAGGCTGGAAATACCAGGTTTACCAGTTGTTGCACTCCATTCTGGTAGGATCTTCAGGTTCCTTGCTAGTATCTTGCTAGTGATACACTAATGCCTTGAGAGATTAACTGGAGCTGAGTGTTTAACCTCAGTAGTGTGAGGAGACATGTCCTGCCCGTGGGTCAGCAGTGCAGGGCTGGCATTCTGTGTACGTGGGTTGCCCACAGAGTGTGACACCTGTGCCACCAGGAGGGCCACAGCTCTGGGTCCCTGCCGAGCGTTTGTGGCTGCCAGGTGTGTCTGTTGCTAACACTGCCTGGGGTTACTGTGTCCCCTGCCCGCGGTGCCACACCCAGCAGAGCCATGACAGGGACAGGGATGAGGCAGTGCCTGCTCAGCACTCCTCGGCACGGGGCACAGACACCTTCTGTGCTAGCAAAGCAGTGTCAGCAAAACTGGGACAACTTCAGAATGCTTTGAGAACTTGTTGCAGCTGTGCCTGTTGTTATAGAAGATGGGAGATAAGGGTTGGCATTGCTCAGACTCAGCTTTTAATCTAGCAGAGCCTGGAGTCATGTTTAGTGTCTCCTTTGAGATATCAGCTGTTGGAAGGCACTGTAAATGGTCTTTCCATCTGGCAGGGTTCCTGTGGCATTGTGTTCCTTGCCATGGGAGCCAGTCTTGCTGGTGCTGATTGCTGACATGGCTGATGAGGAGAGGCTGCAAAGTGCAGCTCAGGGGCTGTTTCACTGCTCTGAGCTTGATGTCAGGGCATAGTTTAGGCTTTACATCCTAATCCTACATGTACTTCTTGGGAGTACATGAACATGACATCACTTTAGAGTGCTAGAACAGAGCTTGGGCCAGCAATGATTTTACGATAAATTTTCCCAGATGCCTTTCACCCCCCACCTCCCTTCTTTTGTCCCCTTTTCCTCTCTGGAAAGGGCAATGACAACTGTTCCCCACGTGTCCTCAGTGCATTACAATGCTCTGTGCTGAAGAGTTTGCTGTAGCTTTTTTTATAATTGGCCATTATCAAGGTTCCTGCTATTCCAAAATTCTCCCAAAGGATTTATTGACAGAGATAAAAAGGCTCGAGTATCTGTTTGCAATATGCAATAATGTATCATCTTTAGCCCCAAAAGTTCTAATGGCTTCCTTTATTGCACAGTGGGGATGATTTTATTCCAATTTGAAACCCACTGTTGATATGAATTGGATACTAATTCCAGGAGTAGACTTTTTCTAATGTTTTTAGATTCCCTGGAATATTAATTTAAGAAGTTTTTTAATTTACTAAGCAAACATGAGAGGAATTTGCTGAGTGTTGGTGGGGTTGTACCAAAGCCAATATTACAAATTACAGTTTCTAGATAAATTCTTGTTGGAAATCTGAGGCACACAATATTTGTGAGAAGGCACATTTTTCATTTTCCATGAAAGTAGCTTTAACTCTTCAACAGAGGTATAAGATTTCCACCATTTTCCATCTCCAGGCAGAGACTGAAGGTAATTTGGATTCCTACATACTGTTACACTCAGAAAGTGCTGCAAACTTGGTTTCTATTTGGAATCCTTAAAAGTTGCCAAATGTTACTTACTTGGATTTTAAAAAATAGTTTTACAAGTAATCATTAACTTATGTAATAAGTGCACTAATCTGGTGTGCTCAATTTGCAACCATCATACTTATAAGGAATTTCAGTTAAGATGCTGAACATACTTCCTATATTGCTTAGAGTAAGTCTCATGACATCCATTCAGCATTCTAATATCTGGTCTCTCAACATGTGCTTTCAGAATGTCCTCCTTTCAGTTTTTAATTTGAAAGCTTATTGGAAACATTTCCAATGATTTTAAACCTTGTA